AGGTACTTAGAGGAAAAGAAGGAAAGAATAATTTAAGTCAGATAAATCTGTAAGATTTGAAAGCTGTAACAACTGGATCAAAATGCTGCAAAATTGTAGCATTAGTAATAATGTGTTTAACAGATTAAATTTTCATGATTTTTACGCATGTGGTACTTGATTGCTAGCATGTAATTTTTAAAACAAGGTTATTCTGTGAAATTGAAATCAAGACAAGATAGTATTTTGATCGCTTTCCATTTTAATTCTGTGAACCTGAGTTTATTTAGAGGATCAGTTAATCTGTATTTTAATCAAAATTTAATGGATTACATCATGCGTGTTCCAACAATGTCACTTTGTGGATGGCCTTTCCATTCAATTAACTCCACTCACTTTCATCTTTAGCTGTGTGATCTGTTTTTGGTGACATGTGCTATGAAGTATGTGACCTGTTATCATGAGACTTTTAAATTAAATAAATAGTGTTGAGCTTTTGGGGGGAAATAGGTTATACATTTTATGAATAACTGAACTGAGCACAAGTCTGTGAAGTGTAAAGCATGTTCAACATCATTGTTTTCACCTACTCAAGTACAGTCTAGTGAACTAACACAGAAGGCAAGAAGTTATGCATTTACCTCCATTCTTAGTAAGACAGCATAAAGTTAAAGATATAAGCATAAGGAAAATGCCCATCCTGTTGTGGATTTTCCCTGTATAAATTGAACACTCAGGTTTGATGCACAGTCAAAATTCTGCAGGAAACACCCTGATCTGGATAGCCTAGGCAAGCCAGGCCAACCCTGGCAAGAATTTGGATGGGAGACCTCAAAAGAATAGGGTGATGGGCAGAGACAGGCTATCAACCCAGTTCTCTGAATGCCCTCCATGCCCCAATAGGAGTCACCAGAGGTTGCCATAACTTCCAGGAATGGGCACGCATGCACACAAAATTGCAAAAATGCAAAAACAAAAAAAAATGCAAGAAACCATTACATTGTTTTTGGAGCATGGTTTAGATAAGCAAGGAGGAGTCTGCACAAAGATGGCTATCCATTATCCCTATATCAAGAATGTAGTACCTGTAAATCTAGTTTGTTTTAGAATTATAGAACAAAGCTCACATTAGCATGAATATTCCTGTCAATCACTTGTATTTGGAGACTTTGAGTAGATCCTACTTGTAGGCTTTAAATTAGGGCTTTCCGTACTTTCTGGGTTGGATTCTGTAATCCATCAGTAGAATCACCTGATATTCATTGATTCTTTCTACGTATAATCCCCTCTCCTCAGTCCCTTCTAACCCCAGGAAAGGTGATTTCTGGGACCCATGAAGACTAACAGCCATACAGGTCAGGGGGCTATGTTAGGAGTAAAATCACTGTCCTGTGTCTTAACATACTGGATCAGACCAGTAGTCCATTATCCTGTCTCACACAGTCGCCAGCCTGTTATTCTGGATGCCAACAACAGGGCATAAGGCCAGAGTCTTCTCTTCTCCTTATGTTGCCTCTTGGAACTGGGATTCAGAAGTTTACTGCCTTTGAATGTGGAGGTTCCCTGTAGTCACCATGGCTAATACCCATTGAAAGATGGTGAACCTGTCCATGAATCTGTCTAATATTCAGAATGAATCTGTCTAATAACCATTTAAAGTGCTGAGCCTTTAGCCATCACTACATCCTCTGACTGCGAATTCCACATTTTAATCACTCATTGTACTTCCTTTTGTCCTTCCTGAATCTACTGATCATCTTCATTGGATGCCTTCAAGTTCTAGTACTCTGAAGAGGGAGAAAAAGTTCTCTCTGTCCATTGTTTTTATATCCCACGCATAATTTTATAAGCTATCATATCCCCCCTTATTTATAAATTAAACTTCTAGACAGCCCTCTGCAGTGCAAACAAGGCTCAGGGTGGTATACAACAATAAAGACATTCATACATTAATAATTTAAAGAATAGGAAAATACTTTTCTAGACGGCAATAAAAACTACAAAGTGTGCTGTTGCTTCATGGGGTGGGGAGGCGAGAAGTAGAGGTGCCAGACAAGATGGAAACCATCGCTGTCCTCAACCAAAAACCTGGTGAAACATCTCTGCCTTACAGGCTTTGCGGAACTGCTTTAGTCCCACAGAGCATGGATGTAATTCCGCAGAGAGTTCCACCAGATCAGAGCCAGGGCCAAAAAGGCTCTTGTAGAGGACAGCTGGATGTCTTTCAGGCTGGGGATCACCAGTAATTTCTTCTCTGCAGAGCATAATGCTCTTTTTGGGGGTGTACCAGGAGAGGCTGTCCCGAAGATACGTGGGTCCCAGGGCATTTAGGGCATGGGTGGCCAAATGTGCTTAACATAAGAGTCACATAGAATAAATGTCAGATGTTTGAGAGCCGAAAGACATGAACAAGTATTGCACACACTTTTTAATCGGAAAATATGCAAATTTCCTTTTTCATTAACATTAAATGAGACTGCCAAAAATAAAAACAAAAGGGGTAAAAACAGGTATTGATAATATTTATTTGTTTGCTAATGATATTTATTTGTTTAAGAGAGAGAGAGAGGGGTGGAGAGAGAGAAAAGAAGCAAATAGATGGGGAGGGGGGAGGATGGAAAGAAGGAAGAGAAGGAGAAAAGTGGAAAGAAAGAGAAACAGAAACAAAGAAAGCAAATAGAGGGGGAAGGAAGGAAGAGAGGTTGAGGAAGGAAGAAATGAAAGCAAATAGATGAGCAAGGAGGAGGAAGGAAGAGTGAAAGAGGAAGGAAGGAAGGTAGAAAGAAAAAAGGTGAAAAGAAAGAAAGGCAGAAAGAAAGCAAATAGATGGAGGAGGGAGGAAAGAAGGGGAAAAGAGAAATAGAGGTGGAAAGAAAGCAAATAAATGGAGAGGGAGGGAGAGGTGGAAAGAAAGCAACTTTAAATGTGTTCACACTGGCTGGGGAAGGGAAGACCGAGTGGGGAGGCATGCCTCCCCTTTGCTTCCCCAGCCATCCTGCCGGGAGCCACACAATATGTGTGAAAGAGCCACATGCGGCACCCGAGCCACAGTTTGGCCACCCCTGATTTAGGGCTTTAAAGGTTAATTCCAGAACTGGTACTCCTGATAATTCCTGATCTGGTACTCCACCTGGAGTAATCTCTTTATTAAACTGAAAAGTCCCAGGCTCTTCAGCCTTTCCTCAGAAAGGTTCCGTAACCTCTTCTGTACATCTTCCAGCTCTGCAGTGTTCTTTTTGAGCAACAGCAGAGCTGGCTCTTGTGAAGTAGGGTTTGATTTTGCTCCCTTGCTCAGTGCAGCCCCCTAACCTTACAGAACCTTTTAACAACGTTCCGGGGGTCAGAAAGGACTTCTAGGGAGAGCGGGAAGTAGACAGGGTCCCTGATCCTTTTGCTCACAGATAGTGAGATCCTCCCTCTGTGTTGGACTCGTGTATTGATTTCCTTCACTATGAGCATCAAAGTGAACACTTGAGTGATGATTTCTTTGTACTTTGTGTCATTAGTAGATGCCAGCTGAGTTTCTTCCAAAGGCCTGCCTCCATGTGTTTAGATGCAAAGTATGATATGTATGGTTTTCTTAACAGATTGTAAAATGGTTTGGGGAAGTGTGTTTTATCACTTGTCCTCATAATCGTTTCAACAAGGGATTGAAAGTGCAGAGAAAAAGGGAATTTTACTTTTTTAAAATTTTATTTTTAATGCGTGCGTGTGTGTGCACCTGGAAGTCATGGTGACCCCTGCTGACTGACCCCTACTGAGGGCCTGGAGGATATTCGGAGAGGTGGCTGAATAAAGCCTGCCCCCTGCCTCCCGCTTTTGGTATTTCAAGGAGGTCTCCTATCCAAATACAGGCCAAAGTCGACCATGCTTAGCTTCTGAGATCTGACGAGTTTGGGCTTGCCTGGGCTATCCAGGTCAGGGCAGGAATTATATGTTCTTGGTCATAATAAATAGGTCTGATTACAGCATTGTCAACTCTGTTTTAATAAACTTTAGTTGTGAAAATCAATCAAACATGAAGTCATCCTTTATAGCTGCCACCATTTTTTCAGGGCTTGACCATAAATGGTTTGAGCAGACGTAATACTCAGCTTCTTTCTTCATCAAAATTAGCAATACAGAGAATCTCCACTGAGACTTGTATCTTTGTCACTTAAGGTAGGTTATTAGCGGAAAATTATCAGAATGTTTGAAATTCCTTTTCGCAAAGAACTGTACAGAATGAGCTCCAAAACTGATATGAGGGGGGGAAAACAGTCAAATACAGGTAGCAAATTGTTTTTGCTTCTTTGGGGTCTGAAGGATAACCACTAGAATTGTGATTTCCACATGTATTGTTTTGGATCCAAGAAGCCTCATACATAAGAGGAATGAACTTTTTGCCTAAATTGGCTTATGATTTTCTCGATCCAAGCCATGCACCTTAAATGTTATATGTCTTGCAATGTTACTTGATCATATACCTGGCTTGCCAGTGTCCTTATGATGTATCTTGCTACATGTGAAAAGTAATTTCGCACTTGCTGTAAGAAATGCTTTGGATAAGGTGTGTAAATCGCATCAGTACAGCAAAAGGTGCAGTAAGGTACCAGTGTTACAGCACTAGGATGACAGACAGGAGTAATGCTTGGGATCTGAGCGCAGTGTTCTAATTTGCCCTGCCCAGTCTGCATATGTAACATGACCATTTGATTATATTCATTCTCTTTAAGGCATGGAACACAGAAAATTAATAGAATCGCTGTGTGCATTTGCCACAGTAGATGGTTCCTTGTTTGGCCTCTTCTACTTTACAGAATGAATGGTGCAAGTTCTCCCTGTAAACTCAAAGAAGGGTACAGCTAATGCATCTGCAATTCAACATTTTCTTGTTTTCATTCATTTGTGATGTTTCAGGAATTTAAATGAGCCAGATGGGCTTTTTTCCATAATAAGGCTCATAATACTGCTGTCTCTTACTTGCATTTCTTGTGGTTCAACATATTAATAGTTCCCCCCTCTTTTTCTTGCGCCAACAGGGAAAACTTGTGATAGGTGGTAAACCAGTGACTCTGGAATACACTCCATCCCTTGAATTCTGGCGCTGCAAACGAGTGAGTATATGGGGACAGAAATTATTTCAGAAATAGTCATGGCAAAGGCTAGATATTAACAGCTCATTGAAGGCTTTGCGAAATTACTTTCTGCAGAGAAATTTCAAACTGGTAAGAATCTTGGGTTTCTGGTTGCCTCCCCCTTGTCTCTTTATCAGGTAGGCAAAACAAGCAGTCTAGGCTTTTTTTAAAAAAATTAGACTTCTCCCAACCCACCCATCTATTCCTTCATTTGAAGGCTAAAGAAATACCCCTAACATCACAATCTGCCCCACTGGCAAGGGGAAGGGATACGCATAACCTAGGCTTTTACTGGATTCAGATGGTTTCCCATAAAAATACCAGTTAAACTTATTCCCCCTTGCATTGTGGATGGTTCCTTCCTTACCTTCAATATGGATACATTTTTAAAAGTCTTCCACCATCACCTAAAACCTTTTTTTATTCCAGAAGGCCTTGTGTTATCTGTTAATTCTTGTGTTACCTGTTTTTAACTGTTTTATGTAGATATTGTAAACTGCCTTGAGTATTTATTTTTAAATAGGTGAGGTATAAATATTCTAATAATAGCATATTCCCAGGTCACTAAAATTCTAAACTTGCATAAGAATTCTAGGAATTAATGAAGTAGTATTACTACTAAATGTTCTATATTGTATGAATAGATGTAAATAATAACTTCCCTCTGCTGCTTATTACCAGCAATCATTTCATGATTAGAAGTTTCCCCGGAATGTATATTCAAATATGAGAAGTGATACTGTGCGTGCCATGTTTCCCATTCTTGTCTCTTAGCCCAGGTGACCAAAATATTTTTTCTGTCTTAATAGAACTATCAGTTTTAGGAATCTATGTGAACTTATGCATTTTCATTATAATTACTCATGAAGCTTAATTGTTAGCAAGTTTTATTATAAGTAAAACTTCATTGAATTACATTTGCACCAGATTAATGATAATAAAAACTATTATTTTATGGCAGTGTGTAGAGTATAGCCAGGAGATCTTAAGATTGTCTGGCAGTGAGAAGTTTTTTCTCTTAACATTATGCACCACTAGGTAGTGAACTAGACTTGTTTTTAAGGCAAGAGATGTTTCAGAGGTGGTTTATCATTGTCTGCCTCTGCATCACACCCCTGGTATTCCTTGGAGGTCACCCATCCAGGTACTAGCCAGGACCGACCCTACTTAGCTTCTGAGATCTGACGAGATTGGGCTAGTGTGGGCTATCCAGTTCAGGGCTGCACCTAATATTTATTGTCATTGGCCCCGTTCATACGAGGCATTTTGGGCCTGGAGCGGGCCGGATTGGAAGCGCAGCAAACGGGTGCGATCCCACGCCAACATCTGCCTGGCGCTCCCGTCTCCGATCCGGCCCTTCCCTCGATGAAGCGCGTCAAAGATGAACCACCTACCTTCGGTGGTTCATCTGGTTGGTCCGTTTCATCCTGGCCGTGGGATCGGCAGTGCGTCTTGCCGCTGTCGCATCCCCGGCCCCCTGCCGTACCGCGCATGCTCGAGCATGCGCAGTTTGGCAGCCTCTCCCTCCGACTCGTATCTTCCTCCCCGGCATCTGATCGTGCCGGGGAGCAACGGAGCGCGGCTACCGGGATCTGTGGGATCCCGCCGCGGCGTTTCTTTTTTGGCGTGGCTTTTAAAAGCCGCGCTTCGCCCCGTCTTTTCCCTGTCGTGTGGCAGGGGCCATTAAGGGGCAACTACCAAGAGACTGGAGCAAAATTTCCTTCAGCTTAAGGCCTCTATAACACTGGTGATTTAATGCAGCTTTCCTGTGGCCTAAAGGACATGTTAACACATTGGCACTTCCCGCCCATGAATTCCAGTGAATGGGTAATAGGGGAAAAAACCCTGAAACATCCAACATGTTAATGTTTCCCCTCCCCAGTACAATGTCATTGGTTGATATAGCATCCTTTTTTCCAGCTACATGCTACCAAGGCAATGAGGTTGGCAGTGCCCCAAAGTCTCACTAGAAAGTGTAATTTGTGTTATAGAGAACTGATAAAACTTGTTTATCAGAAATTATCTTCCTGGTTCTGTTGTGCTAATGCAGAGTATCCTGAAGGAGAGCCTTTTAAAGCATGTCTTCCTTACACTCTGCCTTATTTCTTACAGTGCAAAGTGTCCACAATAGGATATCGTTCATCCTGTTATTACTGCAGGTTCCCAAGAGATAGTAAGTCTACTTTCGTTAAATTGTTAAGCTGGGTTTGTTTTTTTTTGACAGATATCAGCATAGCTTCTCAATTGATGAAGAATTGAATGGAAGGTAATAGAAAATATTGGCAGTGTTATTAGACCAAGTATTGTAGTCTGTTATTGAGGTCTGTAAGTTAAAATAAAGACGATGGAAAATAAACATAGGTGAATAGAGAAGTTTTGACAACCCTTGAGTTTGCATGGTTCTTACTTGGAAGGGGTTTTTTGGCCTGAGATAGAGGGCCCTTAGATGAAACTTTAGTGATCCTGTATTTGCAGTACAAGCACTGCTGAAGTGTGAGGAAGGGAGAAAAAGATCACAGCAACTGGCGAAAATGACATGCTGTCCTCTTGTGAAAATCCTCTTATCCCATTTGTGTCATTGTGATCCAGTATCTCCCTTTTGGTAGAAATCTTAAGAAATTGCCATGCACTTAGCTGTGACATCTGTGTATACTTTAAAACAGCAAACTGCTTAAAAAGTGGTGTTGAGATTGAGAGAGAATATCCTACTTAGTGAAATGACTTCATCTATGCTTTCCTTAGTGGTTGAAGATAAGCCTGGAAAAGGGGAACAAGAGTTACCTCAGGAGCCCATGCCAGAGGAAGAACCTCTTGAGAATCCTGGTTCTCCAGAGGAGCCTCCTCAGAAGCCTTCTCCTGAGGAGCAGTGCCCGTCTCCGGAACCTGAGCTGAAGAAGAAGGATGAAAGCAGAGAGCAGTGGCCTTCACAAGAGAAGAAAAAAGAGCCAGAGAAGAACCCATTCCGGAAGGAAAACCAAGAACATGGTTCAAGAAGAGAAACCGTGGAGACCAAACATCAGGAGGATGAGAGTAAAAGTAAGCTTGATTATTTTGATTATATGTGCAAGCTGCCTTGTTTTGCTGAGTTTACAGTGGACGCTTGGATTTGAGTCAGCTGAGTAGAGATGCTTAAATCTCACCTACGAGTTCAACAGTGTTGTTTTTGCCTTTTGAAGAGGAGTGTGCATGTCAGCTGAGCCTGATAAAATGATATTGGGAGTAGGGATGATGAGGACTTAGCAAAAATGTGAAATGCCTGTTCTTTGTTGAGTCAAGCCTCTTTTGATTGGCTCAGAGGACTGGGCGCAATTCAAAACAAGCAACATTACTGGCAGTTTTGCCTCTGTGCAGTGGCCACCTTCAGCAAGATAGCTGGCTGGGATAGTTGCTTATCAGATATACTTGATACATCCTGGGTCACCATGGGATGTCTCTTTTAAAAGCAGGTACGTTAGGTTGTGTGTCATTTTTGTTCAGTCAGCCTTCAGAGCCTTGGTCAGTTTCATTTCAAGTTCCTAGTCTCATGGTTGCTGATGGCAATCTGCCAAGTACATTGTGAGCAGTCTTTATTGAGAGTCAAGTGCACGGTGAGTTAAATGCTCAAGTATATAAGTTCCTGAATATCTTTTCCCCCCTCCTTTCATTACATTTCACAGCAATTATGTTAAAGCGCATACCTCGCTTCACCCCTCCAGAAGTCATTGTGGGTCTTTTGGCACCGTATGTTCGTCTCTCCACTTCAAGTGTGCGTGTCATGAAGAATAAGGCTGGTCGGATGGGCTACACCTATGGCTTCATTGAACTGGACTCTCATGCTGTAGGTTTCCATTGGTCTTTTGCTCTACACAACATCTTAATGCTTTATTGCTGTTATGCAAATTTTCCCATGTGTGACAACCCCTCTTTTGGCTTCTTTGGTTTGGTGTAGAATTCTCATAGTAACAGAGCTTGTGAATTTGCTCATTTCTGCCTTTCTTATCTAAGGCAATTAGTGTGAGCTGCTTGGTGACTTGATATTAAATCACACTATAGTGTAGTATTCCTTCTGAATGCATTATGCCCACTAATGAGTGTACCAAACTGGTAGTTTTAACTGGGTCAAAGCTATTTGTGCAGATTTAGTTCTACTGCAAGCAGTACCAGCAAGTGATTTATTATCCATGAGTTTTCTTTTCTTGGAGGAGGGAAATTTTAATGCCAAAACAGCTTGTTGTATCTGATAGGCATTATCCTTCCATTTTTGGTAACGCAGAATTCCAGTGTGTAGGTTCACGTGACTATTGCTTCCATTTACCATTTTGTCTTATGTCACATAGACTTCATGATCCTTACAGCTGTATTGGGGCTTGGCTGGATTCTTGGACTTTTAAAGATTGGCTAACAATGGTATTAGTTCTGCCTCCTTATTATCCTATAGGTAGTACCCAGAGAGTATAGGATCCTTTCCTTCCTCCTAGCTCAGTACAGGTAACTGGATCAGTCTATTGAGACACCCCCCCCCCCATTCTGAATAGTTACCCAATCAGAATGTGATTATCAGATACCTGCAGTGCAGTCCTGTTCAGAGTTACTTCAGTCTAAGTTCATTGAAGTAGATAGGCTTGGACTGGGGGCAATTCTGCATAGGATTTCACCATTAGTTTCCACAGAGGGCTTAGAAGGGCTGCCTTCTGCAGATTGTTTTGGAGAGATGATGAAGAAATACACTAAATGGTTAAATAAATAAAGGTGCCACTTAAATCACAATGATCTTTTTTCCTCCTTAAATATATTCTTCCCTCCTCAGGAGGCGCTCCGGTTAGTGAAAGTTTTACAGAACCTGGATCCCCCAATCAGCATTGATGGTCGTGCAGTGGATGTAAACCTAGCCACAGGGAAAAGAAGGTAGCAAAAGACCTTACTTAAATGTCTACTGCAGCCTACTGCATGTCATCCTTTACATATGTGTTATGGTAGATGGCTATGTATGCAGATCAATGCCTAAATACAAGTTTGAAGGGGAGTTTTGTGTAGGGATGGGCAGGAACCGGTAAAATCCGGTTCATTTCAGTTCATGGTTTGTGGCTCATGAGCCATGAATAGTCAGGAACTTTTAGGCACCAAACGAACTGGTTTGGCTCGTGAGGTTTGTAACGTGGTAGAATGCTCCCCTGGTGTGCTAGAGACACCAAACTCACTGGGGGTCTCCAGCTGACTCGGCTCTATCTGCCTTCCAAGTTTGGTGAGGATTGGATTTACGAGATCCATGTTACACCCCCCAAAGAAGGTGCCCCCAGGAAAGTGCTTTCTGGAGAAATAAAAGGTGCAGGTTCAGGAGCATATAGAACGAACCCTATGCAAGCTAGAGACATCAAACTCGCAGGGTATCTCCCCCAGATGCTCTTCTACATGCTCACCGTGTTATGTGTAGATTTGGACTTAAGGGATCCAAGTTATGCCCCCCCCCCCGAAGATGCCCCAAGGAAAGTGCTTTTGAGGGAAATGTCAGGTGCAGGTTCAAAAGTGTATAGAATGAACCCCCTGCAAGCACTGGCTGGAGGATTCCATCTCCCCTGTAGCTTTGAAGTTTGGTACACATTTTGATTGAGTGGAGACTGTCTGGAAATGTATCTATTCATGAACCACCACAAACTGCTCAAACGTTTGTGAAAAGTTTTGTTGTTTGACTTTCCACGAACTTCAGTTTGCAAACCATGAACTGCCCAAAACTGATCACAAAATTTAGTTTATGAACTGGTTCGTTTGTGAGCTCATTTGTGCCCATCACTAGTTTTGTGTGAGCCATATTTGTCAAAAATTAAGTTGCAGCCTTATTAACATGTTTCCTACCTTAGGCTGAAGGATGTTAATCAAGGGGGATATAGTTCACAGTCCTCCATAGACTGAGACAGCTGATCTTTGAGGCAGGATAAGTAGTTACCTGCTCACCTGATTTTGAAGTGTGATTTTAGCACTGATTGGTTATGTTTTGGGCTAAGCTACTCATCTAGCCCCAGACTTAAGCATACAGTGTTAGCGTTAGTGCATGGAGGAGAGTACATTTATTTTTCCTTCTTTGTGGTGTCTTGGGGAATTGGAGATGGAAATGCAGGGATATGTCATGTGCTTCATACCCTCCACAATACTGTTAGTTCTTAGGGGCTGGAGCATATTAATATTTCCGCGGAGCCTCCTATAATTCAGTGATCACACATAGTTCTCATCTCATCATATTTTGGCATTTTTCTCTTTATAAATTTACAAACTAATACTTCTCTGCATATCCCCCAACTTCTGCAGACGTTCCAGTTTTATCTGTGGGTGCGCCTCTTTCATTTTCTTAGTGAAAGCACGCTTCATAGTTAAGCATCTATTAGAGGAAGCAAGTTGTGGGACCAAAAGGAATGGGAGGTGGGAAACGGCAGGGGCAAATGATACGGAATGTGTCCCCCTCCCCCCTCCGCAAAATACCACTCTTCAGGACTCTTTAAGCACTCAGGCATGAGCAGACCAAGTTCCTGCCATCCTCTGCTGTATTCCCCCACACCCTTAATGGACTTTCAGCTGCTCTGAACATTTGGTACCACTTGAATCATGATTGCAAAGTGGTAGCTGTGTTAGTCTGTCATAGCAAATAAAATAAAAGTTCAGTGGCATGTTAAAGACTTTCTTCTTTTCAGTATGAGCTTTCATGAGTAACAGCTCACTTCTTCAGATATCTGAAAGGAAAATCATACTGGGGATTCTTCTGAAGAGGAACATTATGTGGGGAGTGAAGTTAAGACAGAGAGGTTTGGTATGAATTCCACCATTAATCTTTCAAGTGTAAATTTTCAGTGTAAAGGGGAAAAGGAGTATTAAGGTAGAAAAGTTAGGTATGAATTCCATCATAAAACAACAGAAATAGCAATTACAAATAATGGATGATGAGAGAGGTCAGAGATTCAAACAGATAAGTAATGTGATGAAGGAGGATAAATGGTTGTATCTTGTGGTACAAAGATGCTAGTATGATAAAACATATTAAGAACAGCCAATGAAAATTTCTAAGCAGTTGTTCCCTGTGGAGCTATTAGTGATTGTAGTGTTTTGTGTTCCCTTTTGACTTATTTCATTCAGTTTCTTATGGAGGCTTCTCATTCAGTTCCTTGCTGAGGTTACAATGAATACTTAGCATGTATGAAGGAAACTCTGTGTCCTTGAATTAATTGATTGAAGTGGCTTTCTCCCTCACTTTTTTTTTTTGCTAGAAATGAATATGGTGATCATGGGGATGTTCCACGCTACAGCCAGGTAAGCCTTAGGATGTAATGTGTGGTAGCATGCAGAGGGAATTGACTGCTGCCTCCTGGTAGTGCAAATGAGCTGTGGATGACCATGTTCTTTTTACTAGTTGTAAAGCATTTTCAGTTTTGCCTGCTCCCCTTTGGTTTGGTAGAGCATTCAAACCTATACTGAACAATGAATTAGCCACCAGCACTAATGTTACTTGCATAACATCATAAGGAGTTTAGGGATAGGCTAAGAGATTAAATACACTGATTTAGTATGGAGGGTAGCCATGTTGGTCTGAAGCAGCACAATAAAGTTTGAGTCCAGTGGGGCAACTTTAAGACCAACAAAGTTTTATTCTAGGTATAAGCTTTCATGTGCAAGGACACTTCTTCAGATACATTGAAACAGAAGTCACCAACCATTACATATAGGTAGAGGGTGGGGAGGGTGTTGCCAGGAAGGGCTAGTTAGGGTCAAGATGCATAAGTAATTGAGCTCTACCTATATGTAATGGTTGGTGACTTTTCTTTCAACATATCTGAAGAAGTGCTCATGCACACAAAAGCTTACACCCAGAACTAAAACTTTGTTGGTCTTAAAGGTGCCAGGAGACTAAAACTTTATTTTATATTGATTTAGTGTTTGCCAGCATACTCAAATGTCTTATGAATATGACCTCTGTAGACCTGTCCCTGATACAGACCCCAATAGCAAAGTCAAAACTGATTTACTTAACCACTTGCATTATAGAAAATGAATGCAAAGAAAGAAATCTGATCAGACACCCCCATTTGTTGTCAGAAATCAGTTGGCTGCTTTTACTGTGTTTTCGTATCTTTCTCTCTTCTGGGTAACCTAGAAATGTAATCTGATTGTCTAATCATAGGGGGGGGGTTATGTCAGCAAAGCCACTGGAAACGTTTCTCACAAAACTGGGATAAAAAGAATAGTAGGTTATCTGAAGGTTGCAGACATGACTTTTGATAAGTTATGTTATGCCCTTATGTCTGCAGTTAAGGCACAAAACGTTATGTGTAATAGGAATATAATCATTTTTATTACTTTTTGTAGCTTACATAATGAAATATATGCATTCAGTATCAGGAAAGGCCTGATTCTTGCCATACTTCAGCAAAACTCGAATCCTTTGAAATTAATGTGGCTAGAAGTGAAGAAGAAGAAGAGATGGGATTTATACCCTGCCCTTCACTACCCAAAGGAGTCTCAGAGCAGCTTACAATCTCCTTTCCCTTCCCTTCCCCACAACAGACACCCTGTGAGGTAGGTGGGGCTGAGAGATCTCTCTCGAGAACTGCCCTTGAGAGAGCTCTCTCAGCCCCACCTAACTCACAGGGTGTCTGTTGTGGGGAGGGGATGGGGAAGGGATTATAAGCCGCTCTGAGACTCCTTCAGGTAGTGAAGGGTGGGGTATAAATCCCTTAACAGAACAGGTGTATCAGGTGCTTAGAGAGCACGGCAGACTATATATTACACTCTGCATAGACCTTCTATTAGAAGATACCTTGGTTTGCTATCATCACCCAGAATATCTTCTTTCTTCTTTATACCAGTTAAGAATGGTGCAATGGCAGCCAAAGCAGATGGAAAAATTCCAACATGGTGGATATTGTCCTTTATTATCCAGAGCAGAATCACCAGTGATGCATGCTGGGTTTCTGATCTTTATACCAAGAGCAGTTCTGCATGATGACACAGTTTACACAACCCTTAAGAATCTCAAATGTTTGCTGCCAGCTGCAAGGGGAGTGCTCCACATTATAACAGAGATAATAATGAACAATCCATCTGCATTTACTGATACAGTCCATGTGATGGGACATAGTAATTGCACCAAAGATTTTATGCATGTTCTTTAAAGCATCTTTTTTGATCTGTTTTTTTCATCTTCTTCCTCCAGTTTTGCAGATATTGAAAAGTTAGGCACTCTCCTCTTGTATGGCAGGTCTCAGTGAAAACCTTTTGACGTCAGCTGGTGACTTTTTATTGGATGTGCAGTTGGGGTGTGCGCTCAGTATAAACCAAGGCGAAAAAATACCCGATAAATATCTTATCAGTATTTATCAGGTATTTTTTCAGCTGATCACTGAGGGGGCTAGTGATTCGGCTATCCAAAAATATTCAGGGATTTTTCAGGGCCGCTGGATAGCTGCAGTTACAGGGCATTTAAAGTGCTCTCAGCCCTTTAAATGCCTTTGGAGTTCACGTGCCGTGGTGCACGGACTGTGTCCCTTTAAATGCCTTTCCCTCCTCCATTGGAAACAATGAAGGATGGGGGTGCCTTCTTCTGGGGCCCATAGAATTGGACCCCCTGGTCCAATCTTTTTGAAACTTGGGGGGGGGGGGGGTTAGGAGAGGCACCAGCAGATATACTGCAAATTTGATGCCTTTACCTCAAAAAACAGCCCCCCCAGACCCAGATACCCCCAGTTCGATAATCCATTATAGCCTATGGGGACCATTGACTATAATGGTCCTCATAGGGTATAAAGGAGCTGAAAAAATTCAGCAATCCCAAGTATTTCTTGAATCCTAATACCACACCAATATTGGGATTCGGAAATATGGGGAAAGACTGATATTTTTCAGGTTCAATATACCCAAACCTGAAAAATACTGTTGTTGTGTGTGTGTATGTGTGTGTGTGTGTGTGTGTGTACACCTCTAATGTGCAGTAAGGGCAGGAAAGTATATGTTGGTAATTTGATACATAACGCAGCTTGCAATGCTTTGGTACAGTAGGGAAATGTGAAAAAATCACTAGAGGTTTTGCTTCCTTGTGTCTTTATTTGATGCCTCTTTATGTTTTAGGGCAGAAGGGGCATGAGGGACCGGAGGGGTGCTGAGTCCCAGAAACGAAGATCGGAGTGTAAGATATGTCGTGGTTTCCTTGTTACCATTGATCTTAGTTCTTGATGCAGTTTGTAATTGTGGAAAATGCACTATTTCCTGTGAGTAGGACTCAGTGATCCATTAGTGCAAAGACCACAGACCTTTGCTGTGTTTCCCTTCCCCAGCAATCCCTTCCACCTCCAGTAAAGTTGATTTCTGGGCTTGTGGAACCCCCTTGTACCAATAATCTGGCGGGTTGGGGGGCTTCAGGGAGGACAGTGAAGGGGGTAAAATCATCCCCTCCTTCCTGTTTCAGAGGTGCAACTCTGCTGATAGGTGAATGGTGAATTTCACTCCCTGACCTATGTGGCTATGAGTCCACACAGGTCCTGTTACTCCAGGAATTTGCTTTTCCAGGATAAAGAGGGAGACACAAGTGTCTTTCACTGATGGATCACTGACTCCAAACCTATAGAAGGAAGACTTAGAACCCTTTAAATATGGAAGCGTAAATATTTTCAAACCAGACAGCAAATCCTCATTGTGTCTGTTCATCTGAGGTTTTCCAGGAGTGAAAGTGGAGAAATTGCCTCCCATTGGGAGCTTGCAGTAGTGGAAGAGGAGGCAATTTCCCCCTCCTCACTGCAGCCCCCGGTGCATTTTATTGATGAGGGTTTTCACAACAAGCAGCAGGCTGGTGAGGGAAGGGGAAAGTGGGGAATCTGCTCCTCCACCTCCATATGTGAGTTTTTCTGTGGGCTCTCCTGGGCCTTATAAAATCTCTGGATTGATGTTTTATCATCTAGTGTCTTTCAGGAGCACAATATGCCTTTCAGGACTGGACTGGACTTACCACCAGGCAGGGTGAAGTAGCCATCCTCAGGCAGCATGTTCTGGGATATCATTAAATGCTCTGTTTAGTTTTATATATTTTTTTCACCTTGGAGAGTATCTTTTGGATTGTCTGTCTCTGGCACCAGAACGTCTTGGATCATCTCTGCTTTATATAAAGGATATGTAAGGTATATGGAAGAATGACTCTTGGCCTTATTTCTTCCCCTTCAGCTGCTTCTGATGTGTCCACGTTCATATACGATCCAGATACTGGAAATTATTTTGACCCCATAACTGGGGTATACTATGACCCTAATACTCAGGTGAGAGCATGTATGCCTATATTCTTCATTTGTTGATAAGGAGATGGCAAGAAGTATTGGGTTGGAGTGCACA